CCTGCTGCTCCTGTCAGATACTCTTATAATCTCTGCCCGCATGCTGCCCGCGACTCTCTCATGATTCCTGATCCCACCTGGGGGAAGATTAAAAGGGTTTTCCTTGTGGAGAAGAAATCTGCCTCCACTCCCGATTCTCCCTCTTCTGTCTACTATGTGATTGACACGTGTCACATTCCTTCGAGTTTAGGATGTTTCCCGATCTTTTCCTAGGCTTGATTCTGTCCTTTTAATATTCTATGACTCATTTTAGCATCTCCATCAATATCCTTTCTGACTAGCCTCTGCACACTTTATTATTTGTTAATATCTGTCCAAAATAATCTACTCCTCGGTGGGACGTGTCTCCCCCGGCAGCCTGACCCACTCAGAAGACAGTTCAGGAGGACCGTGCGCGCCTCTGCTAATGTTACCTGAACTTTGACTGGCTTTTGTGAGGCCACAGAGCTCCATTTGGGTCACACTGATCATCAAGTCATGGGAAAACACCAGATTGCTTTAAACTGAAATACTTCCATTCCGAGCAACTTCTGCCCCTGCGATTTTATCTTTGAATAATTCTTTTTTTTTTTTGAAAACGTGCACTCAAGATTTTGCAATACAGTTCTCTTTGTTAGTTTTAGGGTAAGCGTCCAGCCTGCCTGCCTCAGTTTATGTCCTGACCATGGATGGCAGCATGGTATGTGGTGTTCCAAGAGGTTCATTGAGTGTATAATCTCTTCTCCACCCTGATAAATCTAGGAGAATACACAGGCAAAATGAGCCATGTTTTGGTCTTAGCTCCATGGAAGTTGTGTGATCGTGGGCAGGTCAGTTGAGACTCAGTTTCCTAATATTTTAATAGAAATTTTAATACCTATCTTGATCACATCATAGGGAATTTAGGAGAACGATTCAAAGAATGGACATGAAAGAAACTTGAAAATTACAAATGGCCGCACAGAGGATTATTACCATGGTAAAGTTCATCATCAACATTGTCACCACTGTCGTCATCGGCTTTACCACATCGATATATTGATTCCAATATATAGCAACTGCCGTCTGAAGTAGAAAAGATGTCAGAGGATTTGAGCAGTTTTAGCAAAAGCTGGAGTGTTATTTACCAGAGGCCAGGACAGCGTGTGGGAGAATGTGGTGAGGAAAATGCTCTTCTCTGGGCTTAAGGAAAGGAAAGTGGTGCAGAAGGAAAAGGAAAGGAAGGAAGGAAGGAAGTTGCCTTAATAAATTCTGAGAATGTGACAAGGGCTGGTTTCCCTAATGAGGGCCTTCTGTTCTTCCCTCCTGAGTGAACAGAAACATGTGAAAGAGGCAGAAATAACAGAATCGACCTGAATAGCAAATGAACTATGAAAACCGTTTTGAATTCAATGTTAATCAATAAAATGCACCTTTAAACCAATTAAGACATCCTAAGATATGCCCATCAGGGTGACCAAAAAATTAAAAGCCTAATATCACCCAGCATAGGTGAAGATTTTGGGGATTCTCACCCATGGCTGCTGCCAGTATGACTTAGCACAAGCTTCTTGGAGTCATATTTGGCAGTATCTTGTCAGGTGGAAACTATATATCCCAGAGAAATCGTCCATGTGCACAAGGAGACGTGTAGGGGGATTCTTCTGCAGCGTTGTTTGTAGTAGCAAGCATGTATTTTGGCACACCAAGTGTTTGTTAATAAAATTGAGTTGGATAAAATGCTATATAAATAATGTCACTGACATAAAAGATTAAGATGCCAAAAAGTACTATATATTACCTATACATACATGTGTATCTCAGAATATTGGTTGCCTCTGATGGGAAGAGGGAGAATGAGACGGGTTGGGGGGAGTCAAAAAATAAATAAATGGAACTATATGTGTAATGTTTTAACTTTTTCAGTCAAACCAAACAGCAGCAGTGAAAATGCCAAAATACTTAGATCTGTTCACTGCAAATAGTGGGCATTTGTTTCATTACTCTGTGTATTTCTCCCCTTAAGATGTTTGTTTCAGAACTGCATAATCTTTAAAACTGAATAAATAAAATACTGTCTCGGAGATCTTCTTAATTATAGTGGCACATTGCATGCTTGCCTTTTCTAATGCATGCTCGCCTTTTCTAGCACCAAGAAGAACGACACAATATTATGTCTCATCTGAATGAAACATTTATCCCCATAGTTTTGCCAATTTCTGGGTATATCTACCGGAAAAATTTTTAAGTGGTTATTGGGAGACCCACAAGGAAAGGCATGTGGTTTAAAACTGAGCAGGAAATGAATTTATCTTGAATTTGTCCTGAATGTTGACTCTGTCCCTCAGTCATGGCACCAGCTTCTCTCCACCAGCTGCTCAGAGGGGAGGGAGGGTGGTGGCCGTGCTCCTCCGTCTTCTACCTCGTCTTCTCATGTCCGTCCTCACAGGAGCCCTGGATCCCCAATTCCACACTCCCATTAGAAGCTACATTGTACTTTCCTCTTTGCCACTGGGATATCCATCTGGTACAAAGAGTTTCTGGGGCTGGAAATGGCCAGTACTTCAAACAAGCCAATGTCATTTACAGCAAGGCAATTTTTATTCTGTAGTCTAGCAAGTTTGCTTACTTTGATTCCAATAATAATAGTAATAATAAAACAATAAACAAAATCCTGCTTCTCATTCCACAGAAGAAGACTTTCTTTATTTCATGCCTTTTCAGGTAGAGGGGAGATAATCAACTGACTTGTTTTCAAACATTTCATGCTTTCCTATAGGATGAGGAAAAAGCAGGAGTTCATTGTGTTAATATAACCTAGCATCACCTGGCTTGCTTAAAGTTATATATGGAGATTTGAAAGTAAAATATAAGTTAAAAAATTAGCGATGGAAACGGCTCATCTAAGGATAATTATTCTTGGCTGTCTGAATTGGAGGTGTTCTCAGGCCTTACCAAGTCCCATATGGACACCTGCTTTTTACTCCTTTCCTTTTTTTATTCCAGAAGAGAATGGAAGGGCTTCAGAGGAGCAGATACGGGACTATGGCTGAAGGTAAGAAAGCCTCCAAATTCTCAAGAGCTCTAGGCATCAGGGAAGAGTCACTGTTTTCTCTCCTCCTTTCCCTCACCTCAAACACAGTGACAGAAAAGAAACCCAGTTATTTTCCACTGCAGAAGAAAAGGCAGCTACCATGTTCTTATCTTCCCCACCATCATCACAGCCACACACACCTGAGTGTGAAGCTCTCCCCTGTGCCGCGATGCATGGGAAATGAGGAAATGAAACTTCAAGTCAGCAGTCGGGGGACTTGGAAACAAATTGTGAAAATGATATCCTTCCTTGCCTGCACTCAACTGAAAAGAGGAAAACTTCCCCATAAAGATTTAGTGATCGTGTTTGCTAAAAAAAAAAAATCCAGGATACTTAAGACAGGGAAGAACCAACACAGGGTAAAAGGAATAACAATAACAGATTTTAGGAGACTAAAATGAACTTAATTCATTTGAGCTCATGAGAACTCCAGAAATCCTCGGATTCTCACTCTCTTCATCCCTTGAAGATTTTAGCTCTTGATGCAGGGTCACCCTCGACAACACCACTTTTGTTCTAATTTCCTGTCATTGTATCAGCCAAATTGACGATCTTTCCAACGCATGTATTTCTTATACATGATGGTCTTATCATCTCTTCTTCAGCCACTGATCCAGGGTCATCTGTCAGACTGTTGCGGTCTCGCACACACCTGCGAACTTCCCTCGGAGAGGAATCAGAACCAAGACAGAACACCAGTATCCAGTGCAAATCCAAAGTAGATTAGTGATAGGCGTTTATTACGCACAAAAGCGCAAACCGATCGGGGCCTCACCAAAAGCAGGGTGAGACCCCGAGTCTTGTACGGGTGTGGTTTTTATATCCCAGGGTAACAGGATGTTCGTTCTAATTTTGAACTATTGGGTCGGCCATCCGGAACCCAGCGTCTTCCTGTTCACATTATGCTGGCAAGAAAAGCTCAATTTCACAGCAGCCAAGTCAGGCGGTTAGCGATAAAAGCAGTTACGGTGCAAACAGTTTTAAACCAAAACATTCCATCATTAATTCCAAGTATTACCATCGAAACTGTATGTTCTGGGACAGCGTGTCCCGTCACAAGACTCCGTCCTTGAGTTTAACGACAAGCCTTCTGTAGGCTCATGTCCAAACATCCAACTCCCCACCCAAAAAGAGGAAACCCAGGGACATTCAGCTGGTCCTCGGTGGTAGGTCACTGGAGCTCTGACATCTGAGACTTCCTTTACCCTCAAGGTTCAGATGAATGTGATTGTCAGTCTGTGTGCCTTGGAATTAATTGGTGGGGGAAAAAGAGGTGATAATAGTTTCTCACTGATGACTTCTCATCCTCCACCTCTTTCTAATCTCACATTTATTTAGCATGAAACGGGGCTAAGCACCATCCCTGGAAAAGCTCAGGGACCAGCTTTCTGAAACCTGTATTTTCCCTGGTCCTGATGAAGTCCTTGGAGCATCCTTCATAGTGTAGCAGTTCTTACTCTTGGCTATGGGTCCAAGTTCGGGCTCCCAGTGTGGGCTTCCTGCCATTCAAGAGTCGCCTAAAGTTGTATGCAAACATTTGTATGTATTTAAATATCACTATTTGGCAGGGAGAGAGGTCCATAGCTTTCATGAGATACCATGAAAGGTCCGTGACCTAAAAATCTTAAGAATCACTAACTTTACCAACAAGGACCTACTGTATAGCACAGGGAACTCTGCTCAATATTCCGAAATAACCTAAATGAGAAAAGAGTTTGAAAAAGAATCGATACACGTGTATGTATAGAGTAATTATTTTGCTGCACACCAGAAGCTAAGACAACATTGTTCATAAACTAAACTCCAAGATAAAATAAAACTTTTTAAAATCACTGACTTAGTAAAACACGAAAAACTCTTTTTTTTTTTTTTTTTTTTATAGGCGGGATAGAACATAAGCTGTTTGCAACCTCGTCCTCATTGAGGATCATCCTGGTGGGCAAAACAGGCAGCGGGAAGAGTGCCACCGGGAACAGCATCCTCTGCCAGCCAGTGTTTGAGTCCAGGCTGGCGGCCCAGTCGGTGACCAGGAAGTGTCAGGGCGCAACGGGCACGTGGGATGGGAGGAGCGTCCTGGTGGTGGACACGCCCCCCATCTTTGAGGCGAGGGCCCAGGACCAAGAGGCGTACGAGAACATCGGGGACTGCTACCTGCTCTCGGCCCCGGGGCCTCACGTGCTGCTGCTGGTGACCCAGCTGGGGCGCTTCACAGAGCAGGACGTGGTGGCCGTGACCAGGGTGAAGGAGGTCTTTGGGGCGAGAGCCCTGAGACACACGGTCATCCTCTTCACCCGCAAGGAGGAGTTAGCGGACAGATCCTTGCATGACTACGTAGCAAACACAGACAACGTCAGGCTGAGGGGCCTGGTCCGGGAGTGCGGGCACAGGTACTGCGCCTTCAGCAACCGGGCCTCCGGGGACGAGCAGAGGAAGCAGCTGGCCGAGCTGATGGCCGTGGTCGAGGGGCTGGAGAGGGAGCTCCAGGGCGCCTACCTCAGCAACGACCTCTTCTTCGATGCACAGCGGCTCCAGCAGGGCGGGGGCGACCCCCATGGAGAAGGTCACGTGCGCTACCTGGCCAAGGTGCGGTCGCATATTGCAAAGCAAAAGCAAGACCTGAAAGAGGCCCAGAGAAACCGCGCCTTCAAGGCGCTCCTGCGAGTCAAACACTGGATCGTTTCTCACATCGGAATATTTGCTGTTTTTATTATATGCTTTTTGAGTTTTCTTGCCATTTTAATTAGCTTGTGTAGCACTCACGAATGCTGAGCATTTTCAGATGATACCTGCCACCAGCTTCCATTTTTTCAGAGTCAGTATCTTTGTCTATGTTGATAAGGAACTTTATTTGCTTTTTACATAATTGTACTTTCAATTTCCCTTCCTTGCATCAGACACACCATCCATTTTCTTCAGTTACTTTTTATTTTCTATCCACCTGACCCATCCATAGATCAGTCCAGAACAGGCTGTTGTCCAATGTCTGGAAACAGTTCTTTTACACAGGCATACCTCGGAAGCATCGCAGGTTTGGTTCCAGACCACCACAACGAAGTGACTATCAAAAGTATCACACCAAGTTCTTGGTTTCCCTGTGCACATAAAAGTTATGTTTATGCTACACTGTAGTCTGTTTAGGGTGCAATAGCATTTTGCCCAAAAAACAATGTATATACCTGAGTCTAAAATTACTGCTAACCATCATCTGAGCCTTCAGTGAGTCATAATCTTTTTGCTGGTGGAGGGTCTTCCTCCATGGTGATGGCTGCTGACTCATCAGGGTGGTGGCTGCTGACGTTTGGGGCAGCTGTGACAATTCCTTAAGATAAGACAGCAGTGGAGTTTGCCACGTCAATGGACTCTTCCTTTCACCAATGATTTCTCTGTAGCACACAATGCCATCTGATAGCATTTTACCCACCGTAGAACTTCTTTCTACGAATGGGTAGAAAGAAGAATTGGAATCAGTCCTCTCAAACTCTGCTGTTGCTTTATCAATTAAATTTATGTAATATTCTAAATCCTTTGTTGTCACTTCAACAATGTTCACAGCACCTTCACCAGGAGTAGATTCCATCTCAAGAAACCTCTGTCTTTGCTCATTCATAAGAAGCAGCTCCTCATCTGTTAAAGTTTTATCATGGGGTTACAGCAATTCAGTCACATCTCAGTCTCCACTTCTAATTCTAGTTCTCTTGCTGTTTCCACCACATCTGCAATTACTTCTTCCACTAAAGTGTTGAGCCCCTCAAAGTCGCCCATGAGGTTTGGAATCAGCTTCTTCCAAACTCTTGTTAATATTGATGTTTTGACATCTTCCCGTGAATCATGAATAGTCTTAAGGGCTTCTAGAATGGTGAGTCCTTTCCAGAAGTTTTTCAATTAACTTTGCCCAGATCCATCAAAGGAATCACTATCTCTAGCAGCTATAGCTTTACGAAATGTATTTCCTAAATAATAATACTTGAAAGTCAAAATTACTCCTTGATCCATGGGCTACAGAATGGATGAAATCTCAAACTGCTTAGAACTGCTTTTATGGCATCCCATAGGTTTTGGGTCATTGTGTCGTCGTTGTCATTTGTTTCTATGTATTTCTTTATTTCTTCTTTGATTTCTTCAGTGATCTCTTGCTTATTTAATAGCGCGCTGTTTAGCCTCCATGTATGTATGGCTTTTACAGCTTTTTTCCTGTAATTGATTTCCAGTCTCATAATATTGTGGTCAGAAAAGATGCTTGATACGATTTCAATTTTCTTAAACTTTCCAAGCCTTGATTTGTCACCCAAGATGTGATCTATGCTGGAGAAAGTTCCACGTGCACTTGAGGAGAAAGTGTATTCTGCCACTTTGGGGTGGAATGTTCTATAAATATCAATTAGACCTATCTGATCTATTGTGTCATTTAAAGCTTGTGTTTCCTTATTTATTTTCATTTTGGATGATCTGTCCATGGGTGTAAGTGGGGTGTTAAAGTCCCCTGCTATTATTGTGTTACTGTCGATTTCCCCTTTCATGGTTGTTAGCATTTGCCTTGTGTATTGAGGTGTTCCTCTGTTGGGTGCATAAACATTTATAATTGTTATATCTTCTTCTTGGATTGATCCCTTGATCATTATGTAGTGTCCTTCTTTATCTCTTGTAACAGTCTTTATTTTAAAGTCTTTTTTATCTGATACAAATATTGCTACTCCAGCTTTCTTTTGATTTCCATTCGCATGGAATATCTTTTTCCATCCCTTCACTTTCAGTCTGTATGTGTCCTTAGGTCTGAAGTGGGTCTCTTGTAGACAGCATATACATGGGTCTTGTTTTTGTATCCATTCAGCCAGTCTGTGTCTTTTGGTTGGGACATTTAATCCATTTACATTCAAGGTTATTATCAATATGTTTGTTCCTATTACCATTTTCTTAATTGTTTTGGGTTTGTTTTTGTGGGTCTTTTTCTTCTTTTGTGTTTCCTGGCTAGAGAAGTTCCTTTAGCATTTATTGTAAAGCTGGTTTGGTGGTGCTGAATTCTCTTAGCTTTTGCTTGTCTGAAAAGCTTTTGATTTCTCCATTGAATCTGATTGAGATCCTTGCTGGGTAGAGTAATCTTGGTTGTAGGTTTTTCTCTTCCATCACTTTAAGTATATCCTGCCACTCCCTCTGGCCTGCAGAGTTTCTGCTGAAAAATCAGCTGATAATCTTATGGGGATTCCTTTGTGTGTTTTGTTCTTGTTGTTTTTCCCTTGCTGCTTTTAATATTTTTTCTTTGAATTTAATTTTTGTTAGTTTGATTAATATGTGTTTTGATGTGTTTCTCCTAGGGTTTACCCTGTATGGGACTCTCTGTACCTCCTGGACTTGGGTGACTATTTCCTTTCCCATGTTAGGGAAGTTTTATACTATAATCTCTTCAAATATTTTCTCAGACCCTTCCTTTTTCTCTTCTTCTGGGACCCCTATAATTCAGTCAGAACACACACATTTATCAATTAAGTTCACTGTCCTATATGGGTGCAGTTCGTGGCACCCCTAATCAATTATAACAGTAACCTCAAAGACAACTGATCACAGATCGCTGTGATGGAAGGGGGCATGGGGAAGTCATTCTGGCTTATACGTGATTTAACTTGAACTTTATGCAGCTAGAGCAGCCTGTTTTGTGGCGTATTAAATGTACATTGTACATCTGCTTTAACCATTAAAGAAAAGAATGCATTTAAAAATCACAATGGATGGAATTTCCTGGTGGTCCAGTGGTTAGGGCTCTGCACTTCCACTGCAGAGGGCATGGGTTCAATCCCTGGTCGGACAACTAAGATTCCACAGGCTGCACAGCGCAGCCAACAAATAAATAAACAAAAATAAAAATAAAAATGGAATAACTGTGGCTCAGGTATTCAAAATGGAGCCGGGTGGCCATCGTGGATGTGGTTTCAGACACACTCTTGCATCACTGAGAACTTGAATCTGCTGAAATGTATCAAACTCAAGGATACCACCAGCTGTTCTCAAAATATATCTGCTAGCCACTGCCAGCTGCATCTTTATGGCTTCAAGGTCCCCCTTGTAACTATGAAACCATTTTGGTCCCCAACCAAACCTTGCTTAACAAGCACCTTTACTTCTTGCCAGCTCCAATTATAATTCTTGACAAACAATTATGTAATTTTACGATTTTTGCCTTTATAAGCCCCCCATTTTGTAGTAGCAGAACACAATTTGTAGCAGAACACAATTCAAATGCTTTTGGATCTGTGTCTCCCAGGCTATAGTTCTCAGTTTGGCTCAGATAAAACTCTTTTCTATTCCTATTGTAGACTGTTTATGGATTGCTCCCATCAACACCATAACAAATACAATAATATTGAAAAAAGTTATAAATATTGTGAGAATTACCAAAATGTGACATAGAATGAGCAAACACGATTGGAAAAGCGGCACTGATAGACTCGCTCCACGCAGAGTGGCCACGAACCTTCAATTTGTAAAAACCGCAATATCCACAAAGCACAATACAAAGAGGTCTGCCTGCATATCTTTCTCTAGTTTTCTGCTCGTTAATGGAAAAAGGTAAATAATAATACGAGTTACTCCATCATAGCCAAAACCAGAAGACTCCTCCCTCATTTCTTCTTTATGCAAAGTATTAATTGAAGACACTAGACATTTGTACTATTGATTTCCCCACATTCTGAATTTTGCTGCTTACATCGTTATGATGTCATTTAACGTGTTCCTCTGCCTCGCCATTTTTGTAAACTGGAAGTTAGTTGTGGTTAGTTTGATCAGACAGATCAGAATAAAGTTCAATTTTTTTTACAATGTTACTTAGAGATGATAGTTTATATTTCCATAGGGGGTACTCAACGTCTGGTTTTCCCTCTTTTTATGTTAGCACTCATTGGTGATCATTGTGTAGATCCATTATTTTAATAGGTATTAAAAATGGTGATATCCTGGGCTTCCCTGGTGGCGCAGTGGTTGAAAGTCTGCCTGCTGATGCAGGGGACATGGGTTCGTGCCCCGGTCCAGGAAGATCCCACCTGCCGCGGAGCGGCTGTGCCCGTGAGCCATGGCCGCCGAGCCTGCGCGTCCGGAGCCTGTGCTCCGCAACGGGAGAGGCCACAAAAGTGAGAGCCCCCCGTCCCGAAAAAAAAAAAAAAAAAAGTGATATCCTATTCTAAAATTTATTTTTCATTAAGTAGCCAGAATATTTCTATTAGGATATTCTTTCCTTCTTCATGTATTTAGTAACCTGAAGTATAGTTTATGCAGGAAAGACAAGATAAATGCTTGATAAGCACCAGGATATATTACAAATGAATAAACGATTTAAATGTTAGCAAAAAGGAAAATTTTAAAGTCCTAGAAGGAAACAGAAAAGTGTTCCACTACATGTAATCTGTACATGTGGAAGGTCTTTCTAATGGTGACTCAAAACCCAGAACACACAGATAAATTTATTGATTAATTTGCCTATATAATAGTGATACATATCTACATTACAAAAGTAAAATTTGGGGGACTTCCCTGGTGGCGCAGTGGTTAAGAATCCACCTGCCAATGCAGGGGACACAGGTTCAATCCCTGGTCCGTGAAGACCCCACATGCCGTGGAGCAACTAAGCCCGTGCACCAACTACTGAGCCTGAGCTCTAGGGCCCGCATGTGGCAACTACTGAGCCCACGTGCTGCAACTACTGAAGCCCGCACAACTGGAGCCCGTGCTCTGCAACAAGAGAAGCCACCGCAATGAGAAGCCCGCGCACCACAACGAAGAGTAGCCCCCGCTTGCT